TTTAAATTTTTCCATTTCTTTCAAAATCAGTAGCCATTTGCATCTTACTGGCATTATTGCCTGACTTTGGATGAAATGATTTTATATATATATATATATATATATATATATATATATATATATATATAAAAAGTAATTTTTTTTTTTCTTTTTTTTTTTTCTTTTTTTAAAATGTTATTTTTGTGTCTGAGATATGTATCTATTATTGTGGTATGTGCATGTCATATTTTGGGGAAAATTGTTGATTCCAATCTACTAGGAATTGACTGCAAAACATTTGTCCCTCCTCAATTTATTGACAGAGGCACAGTAATACATGATGAGATTTCTTCTTAGCCAATAAAATCGTCTTGTTCTCAGTTTCATCTTTGGTCCTGGTTTGTCTTGTCTTGAAGTCAGAATGCTCCATTCGCTTGCTCTTTTGTGTGTCAAACCCAGTTCTTAGTTTGTGAACTTTTTTGCCATATTACTATTGCTTTGCCTTGTTATGATATTTAAAGAAATATAGTTTTCATTATCAAAAAAGAAGCAAACTTTTTTTTTTTTTTTTTTTTTTTCAAAATAGAAAAAAACTCAAGCGAGGTATTGGAATAATCAAAAAAAGTTTTACATAGAAGACAATTATTAATCGTTTATATGCAGACATCAATGCACAATCTACTGTACTATATTAGTTTACAGATCACGACATCTATGAAAGTGATGAAATTTAAATTTTTATTATTGTATTATTCCAAAATGTTAATACACCAGCAGTTAGCTATTAATGTCAACAACTGAGCATAAATAGTTATTTATTAAAAAAAATGTGTAATTAATGTATAATATTATCCATAACTACATGTACAAAAATGTTGTTTTTGATAAATTAAAAAAATAACCATAAATACGTTAAAAATGCATATATTGTGGAAAATACCTTTTTCCACAATATAGCTATTTGTGTTGTTATAATGCTTATTACATAAACAATAATACTGAATACATGCTTTTTAAACTGTTAAAATAATTTTTAATTTTTTTTTTTTAATTCTTCGTCTTCGAACTGAAGAATTTGAATGATATAGATTAGCAATAATTATGTCTAATATTTTAGGCAACAATAATTAAATAAACAAATCTTAACACACAATTTTAAATCATCTCTGAGAACATGAATCTCATAATGGTCAGAACATATTCAGTACCTGATGATTCCAGATCTGCATGAAACTCTGAGTTTTGCTATTGACATTGGTTATTATGTATATTCACACATACATATATTTATTCGCACACACACACACATATATATATATAGTTCATGCCACTTTGACAGTAAAATAATTTGTTCATTACCATATTTGGTATAAACGCAAACACTTTAAAAAAGAAATTTAAAATCAAACTCAGCGTTGCTTTGGCTGCTCAAAAAAACAATATCTCATTTTCAATAGCATTTAGGATACAATACACATATATTTTCGATGTCCTCTTATTACTAAGAGAAAAAAAACAAGAACAACATCTATTATATACCTGAAGATGTCTGTAGGAGCAGACGAAAGCTTGTAGTAAAAATAACAACTAATACGGCAGAAATTTATATAAACAAGGATCAATTAATTCATAACGGATCTGGAGGTTTTTGTGTACTATTTGAATTGTTTATAGATGGATGTCTCGCCATTTAAATCATTAACCTTTGCATTAGTTTTGTGTGAATTCATGTTATATATATATATATATATATATATATATATATATATATATATATAATTATTATACACATACAAACATACATGCATATATATTTGTGCGCCAGTATTTCAAATACACTTTTATTGGAGCATAAATGAAAAATGTCCAAGTATAATGTTTACGTGGGATGCACAAAATTTTAATTTTCATTTCTTACACCTTGCTAGTGACACGAGCCACAAACGGAGATTGAGAGATAATGACTAGGACAATCATGGATACGACAGAGAGAGATCCACGGTGATGCATTTTATGCCTGATGGTCATGACTGTCGTAAGGGACATAAGAAACCATTTTATACTATCATCCTTCTTATTGCATGGTCAGTCCCAATGCCTATTTTGAGAGGCTTGACGCGATGGTCAAATCCTGAATCAATCAGTTGCTCATTCCAACATGTCAGCTCCTGTTCACATGCCCGACGTGACATTGGAAAAACTAGTCTATAATTTTCCTGATTGTGTCATCCCTACCGTACGGCCTACTAGATCTTCTGATTGGCATCTTTGGACTAATAAATCTGGGAGTTTGTCTGCAAGGGGTACTGACTAACTTCCCCGCAATACTTGCTAAAAGCCACCATCGTGGGAGCGATGGATAAGTCGAACAAGAACCTTGTCCGGCCGTGCAGACAATTCTTCCCCTGTGTCGATGTTGTCTTCAAGAGTAAAGACAGCCTTATTGAATACCTTTTTTTATCTTCTAGATTGAGAATGAGTACAATTTTGCTCTGTAAATATGTTAATTTTATTTATCTTCGATATGTTTTTCTTTATATTATAATTTGCTCTCAATTAGCTGGTTCATCTCGGATGAACCAGGTAATTGAGAGGTAATATATATATTATTCCAGGATCATTTTCCAATTTATTCAAGATGATATTCCCCCCTCTCTTTAACCTTTTAACTTTCTGTCCTGGAGTAACAAAGTGCTTCACACATTTTATGTACAATTTCATTTTGAAGTCTTTTTTCACTGTTCTTTTAACTGTCATAGATAAAACTCCTCATGTGCTAACCGGCTTATGGATTGAGTTGGATCTTTTCTAATTGATCTCTTTAGCTCTAAGTTGAAATGATGAACCCCTCTTCCTGTTGTGACCACCAGTTTTCCTCTCTTTAAAACTTATTCACCATTCTCTTGATGATTCTTGGATAGACTTTGAAAGTGGAAGCCAGAGTATGAATGTTGGTATCATTATTGAAGACAGTCTGAATGATATTTTTCCTCTTACCATTTTCAGTTTTGCATAATTTAGACAACAATTTATCAATCTCATCCTCTGTGTGTGTGTGTGTGTGTGTGTGTATATATATATATATATATATATATATATATATATATATATATATATATATATCAGCTCAGCTGGGGAGAAATCAGAGGTGGATGCTGGCATTTAATTTGAACCTTCCCACCTATAACCCATGTTTGATCTTGTTACAAATCCCGGCTGAGCGGCATTCTGGCAAAAAATTATGTATTGAGATGAGGCATGTCATAGACGTGTGTGTGTGTATATATATATATATATAATAATATTCCTGATGTAAATGCACTGTAAATGAGATAGATAGGATTATTAGTGGTGAGGAATAGATGCAAAAGTTAGTGACGTTTTCATATTACATACATCTATAATCTATATATATATAAAATGGAGGATGTCTGTCTTTTCACTCAAAATCCATACAACTGATTTTGACCAAACTTGGCAAATATATTTTACAATGTAAGAGATAGGTTCTTAGTGTAAAAAAAATTGATAGTTTTTTTAAAAAATCAATAATTGATAAAGCCAATCAAAAATCAATAAATTCAACTTTTTTACTCCGATTTCATTCAAACTCTGTATGTAGGTTACTTACATTATGACAAACTCAATGATACATCATTTTTATTTCTACACCACTGCATTTAGTAAAAAAATGAAAAATCGATTTCAACACAAATTTTAAACTAAAAACTCCCTCAATTTTCAAGCAATATAATACAAACTTCACTGAATTGTAGCCCACAATATGTTGAGTTTAACAATTATTTAACTTGATAATTGAGTCCACCCATATAGTGAAAACCCCATGTAAATAGGGAAAAATGGCGATTTTTTTTTTTTTTTTTTTTTTTTTTTTTTTCTCTCCACTGGTTCCTTATTTTTCATTAATCTTTCAACCAATTTTCATCACACTTAACAATTGCTTTATAAATGTATCCACTTTTACATCCCTGGTAGTACACTGACAAATTGAATTTCAAAAACTCCAAAATAATTGTTGTCTGAAATGGGTCTTCATGTTGCCTGTTTTACCCCTTCATGTCCTCCGGTAACTTCAACTGAATAAATAGACTACTTCTGTTATATCAGTATCTGCACTAATTCAAAATGTCTTTTAAGGAATGTACTTTAAAATAATTGAAGAAGATAGACTCTGTTACATCTAAACATGATACTGTTTTTGCTCCATTCTGATTGAACACTTTTTCTGATTGACCAGCTGGGTAAAGCTGCTAGTATCCAATAAAACTTAAATTCACCTCAATAAGTGTTTGTTTTTCTTATAAGCTAAATGAAGCAGGCAAATAATGTTGACTACATCTGTAGAATTATGGAATCTGAGAATTATGGTGCATATTTGTTTCTCTTGCACATTGTTTCTTGTACAAGGAAGAAATAAAAACACCTGTAGAGATCTTTTGATGTTTTAAGTAGCTTTCATGTTTCAGGATGTAAAATGTTTTATTACAATTTAAGATAGAAAAAAAACCATAAATAAATGATGGTGGGGGTCAAAAAGTGCAGTGCGACACTCACCAGCAGGCCAACTCTTTTTCTTCTTCTTCAGTCGTCTCAAGGAAATGGATTGCATAGCTTCTTTTCTCGGCCGTCACACTGGGCAGTTATGAAACAGACACCAACTCAGCCACACCTACTACAACTTCCTCTTTGTCTGTCAATCCATATGTCCAACTCTAATACATGCAGTCCACCAAATGACTTTTTCTCCCTGTGATGCTGGCACCCTGCTTTGTATGCTATTCTAAGATGGCCAAAATTTGCATGTGTGCAAATATCGTCTTGTTTTGGACAAGTTATGCACGCATAAGTTGTCTTCAATAGCAGCCATATTTCTTTTTGTCATCACTTTGCAGGCAAAACACATCCGCATTTATTTCAAATTCTAAAGTAAGTCATGTCTTTCATTTCAGATTAATATTATCATTGATAGAATTTAATTTTTTTATTTTTTCAATTTCCAGGGCATGTTAAAGTTGTGCAAGCCATGTATTCCTACACAGCAAAAACTGTAAGTAATTTAATATTGGAAATATTCATTTTTTTCTGAAAATTGTTGTCAAATAATGATTTTATTGTTGAACTGATTATTGTCAAATGAAAGAAATTTTGTCTCTCTGTTTTGCATTTGCTGTTGCTCAAATTACTTAAGGTTAATATTTGCATTCTTAGCATTTTATCATCTCTTTCTGGTTAAATGTATTTGTTGTAGCATACCTACGGACGATAATGGACATGTCCCCATTCACATAAATACTGTATGTTGCTCAACAGTTGGAGACTCATTGTGGAATTCACTTGACTCACTTCTAGCAGTTGATTACTCCTACATGCCACTGGCAAATCTTACAGTGTTGTTCTTGTCCTAAGTATTATCATTCATTACCAACTTTCGTTTGATTATTCTGTTCAGTAACCTTTCTTAGCTTACAACAGTATTTTATAAATATCTTCATTGTGTGAAGTTCTGAACTATTATCATTTGTGTGCAAATTGTCTGAATCCGATTTGTCACACTTTTTGGTTTTATCACTTCATTTCAGTCTATGAATTTTACTCAGATTTTTTAACCATCTGGTCAAGATAGATATGATCATTCAACAAATTGTTTATGAATAATATCCTCATCATTGTAACTGCAGCATTCAAAAAAATTATCTGGACTATTTGAAGTTGACTTACATTTTTATACTTCAGACATATGCAATTATGAAACAATTGATGTCATATCTATCTTAGCCATCTATTGAATTAGATGGGTTGAATGCTGCAATTACAATGATGGGGAAGGTAGTCTGAAGCAGCTTATTGAATGATGATGTCTGGCTTGACCATCTGGCATAGAATAATGATGAACATTTGTCACTGTTTCCGTTTCAATTTTCTGACATCCTTGCTATGATGTTTTTATACTAGACTAAACTCAAATCTTAC